ACCAGCAATTCGAGGACCGCCAAACGAAGCAGATCAACTTATGCCCATCACACGAGAAGTGTGCCGAAGTCCTGCCACGGTCGTCGCTGTCACACGAACGAATGTGTCGAGGAAAGGTTGCACTATCGATCAGTACAAGGCGCTTTATACTTCCAGAGTACATCAGGTAACCAGGTTTATCTTATCCTAGGGGAATAGACCCTTCTAGAAGATAGAATCACCCTGCGTATAGCCACGCGAGGCTATTGGCTTTAAGGGATTACAGCAGGATTACGCTAGATAGAGCGCACCAGTACATCCCACGCCTGGTCGGTGATATAATAATAATAGCAGGATAAACCAAAGGTTGATGGAAAAGGAAGAATAGGAAACCAAATGAGATGGAATAAAAGAGAAATGAAAAACGAAGGAAATAAGAAAAGGCCAAGTGTATAACGGGGTCGTACTCTCACTGTCGTGTTCTTCTCCAACACCGACATGTACCACCGCTCGCCCGGCCATCGCGCTCCCGACGACATCTGGCACCAACGCCTCGGGCACCCTGCAAATAGCACACTACTACAAACCATCCAAGCCGAAGTGTTAGAACGAAACGCTCTTCTTACAACGAGCGGCCAAGAACTTCAACGACCACGCGCACGATGCCTCAGGTGCCCCGAAGCCGATCTTCCCCACCAACCTTTTCCATCACATCACAACCCAAGCGCACCTACATACGCACCGATGGAAAAAGTTTACAGCGGCATCTTAAACATGCCTCGAGACGACAAAGAAGCCGACTTCAACTATGTCATTACGTTCATCGATGCAGCAACAAGATATGTCTGGCACTACAACCTCAAGACACGCGATCAAGCTTTTGAAGCCTTCACGACGTGGCTCCCCATCGCTGAACGAGAATCAGGAACTAAACTCAAGAGCTTCCAATCAGACATCGCCACTACTGACATCGCCACCTGGTTCGAAGGGGAGCTGAGAAGTGACCTGACACTCACGGTGTCTAACACCGTGACCCAGTACCTGGGTCTGAACATCGTCGAAGACAACTCGGCATTCTACCTCCATGCTGGGAAGTACGCAGGCGCTGTCGCGAAGAAATTCGGACTAACACCGACTACGGACACGACTCCCTACCGCTACGGGAACAACAACGACACCTCCGCAAAACTCCCCGCGAAGCAAATCCAGGAGTATCAGCAGAAGCTCGGCTGCCTGCTATTCGCAGCAGTAACTTGGCGACCGGACCTATCTTACAGCGCAAGCCAACTAGCGACGCATCTAAAGCAGCTAGAACAAGAAGATCTCGAGGAACTAAATCAGGCACTACTCTACTTCGTCTCTACGCTGACGACTGGACTTACCTACAGTAAAGCAACGACATCGTCCGTACAACTACTTGGATACGTCGACGCCGACCACGTAGGAGACAAGGAAAATCGATGCTCAAGGACGGGCTACATCTACCGACTAGAGCCTATCGCGACTATCTCCTGGTAGTCGAGCAAACAGGAACTAATTGCACTATCTTCGGCCGAAGCAGAATATATCGCCCTCTGCACTGCGACCAAGGAAGGACTCTACCTGCGAGAGTTGCTCGAGGAAGCAAAGATTGCAACCCTGCCCTTCTTCTCACTCTTCTGCGACAACCAATCCGCGATCAAAATCGCGAACAAAGACGGTTTCGCCAACCGAACCAAACACATCGCCCTGCGGTATTTCTTCGTCAAGGATGAAATCACGAAGGGGAGACTTCAACTCAGTTACTGCCCCATGACAGAAATGGCTGCAGACTACCGAACGAAGAAACTGGCGAAAGCAAAGTTCGACTACTGCATGCTACTTACCGGGCAGATAAACGTCGCCGAATCTGGACACGTCAGCAATCCAGAAACGAAGGGGAGTGTTGGAAATACCTCAAGGACTTTAGCGTTTCTGAAGTGTAACACTACACTCGAGGAAAGTCGCAACGGGTACGCGAGTCAACGGAGGTTACACGAGGGGGTGGACAAAGAACACGAAAGGACTCGAAGGGTCGCAACCGGAGGTTGCGACTGACCGTTACAACTGCAAGGATGGTAACAGAACCGACAATCGAGTCGCCGTGCGACTCTATAAACCGCTCTTTCAACTGTATTCTACAACTGCTTTACTTTCCTACTTTCTATATATTGCTGTATGCTTGTTTCTTTAATCAATCACTTGCTCTCACATACTAGTGCAAGGGTTCAACTACTCCAACTTCCGCTGCACTATTCAAGCATCTCTTAGAACTGGGACTCAGTCTCTGGAAAGATCCTAAGGGCATTTCTCAGCCCAACAGAACTTATTTTTCAGACAGATAAAACATGACGACAATGCTCAATATGGGATTGCGGATTAGTGCGACGGAATTGTTCACTAACATTTCATTTCGACATTATAAAATAATTATCCTTTTGTACAATTATATTTTGAGCTCATGATTTTTTTACCTTGGAATTCCTTGATATTCATCAATGATATAGGTCTTTCAATAATTTTTCCAATGCTTGGCTGAATATTGTCAAAAGGGGTTCGCATATTAATGTTGGCTGGGACGTCTAGTATGGTTTTTTTTTTTTTTTTTTTTTTTTTTTTTTAAATAATGTTGTAATGCAAAGTCCTTTCGGAATTTTTCGGCCACGTGTTAAAAAAATCATTGAAAGATCTACATTGTTTACGAAGATCCTCGAATTCCATGGCAAAAAAAATCATGAGTTGAAAATAGTACAAAAATGTTTATTACATAATATCGAAATGAAATGTACGTGCACAATCCCGTCGCACTAATCCGCAATCCCATATTGAGTATTGTCGTCATGTTTTATCCGTTTGAAAAATAAGTTCGCTGTTAATTTTGCCGTCAGAAATTGACGGTATCCGAGGCACACTCTGTTTCCAGGTTCATTCAGCGACGTGCACTGTAGTTGACGGAGATTTTCGGGAATAGTTGCTGAGAACAGCGAAATGCTGAGGTACAGTGTGCAGCCAATGAAATTGTGAAATGCGAACCAATGAGAGAAAAACTAACCTAAATGAACGCTAAACCTCCCCTCGCTGCTCACAAAGCGACAAAATCCTCCTCTCTGTGCAATAAATGTGAATACTGTGCGCGGATCCCAAGTAACAGTAACCGAACAACTAAAAACCTTTTTTCGAACACCATGAATCCCGAACCCCATGTTTGGAGTTTTCCTTCGCGGCCTATTCACGAAGGTTCAATATGCACGCGTATTGGTGAACGAGACCTTTGAAGTATTTGCAGCTTGGGCTTTGTTCCTTCTGTGTTTGAGAAAATCGGTCACCCCCTAATGCGATTGCTGTCACGGCCAACAAAGGACTTGGCTGAGCAGAGGGTCATCCTGGGATCTCCATTCACACCCACTCGAGTTCCTTGCCTTGTAGATCGGCCTTCGCTCGTTCGCGAATTGTGACTTGAGGATATGGCTAGCTTGCATTCAAGGGATTGCATTTCACGCTTCTCCTCTCATAACCCAGCCGACTGGGAGAAAATCGTTCGTTTGAAACTATCCGGCATTTGCTGTGACGCGATTACGGCGGCTGCTAGATACGGCTCTCGCGACTTCCAATGGAGACTTCCAGTAGCGAAGCAGTCGAACCTGTCCCGAGCCTGACCTCCAGCCATGGCAGCCGTAGCAGGCTGATAATGTCAGACGTCGTTCTCGATATCTTCAAGTCCTTCGCTGGAGAGCATCGAGTCCGCTGACTGTATCACCATTGGATGCAGGGAATTGTCGTCTTTTCTTTCAACGACGTTGAAGGGAAAAACAAACGCGTGGAACAAATGCGTGGATCAGCTTGCTGTGAGTTTTTGGGGAAGAGAGGAGGAAAGGAGAGGAGCGTTGTGTCAAGAAGGAAGGTGAAAAGAACCGACACCTGGGAATGTCGAGCTTGGTCTGCTTATCTCCCCTCGTCTGTGTTTGTAACTTCTAAAGCTTTCTTGACAGGCCCTGGTTGCTGAGCTGAGAGGTGCCCAAGCTGAATCCAAGAAACTGTTAGGGAAGGCGCCTGACTGCAAGAGTGGCAAGGTGCGGATGAAACTGCATGATGGGGACGCGATTGAATGACGGGGATGAGTGGTGGGGATGAAATATCAGTGTGAAATTGAGTTGATACCAAACATCTGAAGATGGGAGAAACTTGGATTGATGCATCCACCGATTGAGATCAGAGAGAGACGCAAGGATTTATTTGGTTTGTTAGCTTCAGCCAATTACAGTCTTCCTTCTCCATCACTGTTCATGCAGGAGAACAGAACGCCCAAGAAGGAAACGAACCCGAGCAGCCGGATAGCGGGCTCGAGTGCCAAAGGCACGGGCAGAAAGAGGAACAGCACGGAGGAGAAGAGAGCCGTATTGCATCTCCTTCCTCGAATTTCTCCCCCCTGCGCAACACCATCAGGACAAGGGGCTGGCGAGACGGATAGAGCTGCACAAGATTCAGCAAGCGAGTGAAGACAAGTCTCGCAGTGCCAGGGAGCTGATCGAGTCTCTGGCGGCGCAGCTGATGCTGCGGATGTCACAGTGAGTAAATGCCTCCCTGCATGGCTATGCTGCAGTGTTTGAAGCCTTGCTGCTCGTTGCGTTGCCTGCCACATCGCAAAAAAGTGGCAATCTAAAAACCATTCGAGGTGGAGCGAGGATGCCGACTATCTGCAGAACATTCAAATACCATTCGCAGAACGTTCGCGTAGCATTTGGCAGGGTGTAAATGTAAAATGTATGTTTTGCAAAAGCTACGATTTCTAAACCCTATGATTTCAAAGCGATAAGCGTCTGTCCAATCGTAGTACACTCCTGTGTTTTTTTTGTTATGTTCGAACGTAATTGTTTATGTATGGAATATATCATGTGTGGGAAATAAAAATGATAGGGTTTGTTGCTATATTATTAGTGGGGTCATCACCTGCTGCGAGCACTGTGAATGGTTGTCGCTGCAAACTAAAAGTATCATGCTCAGTACGAGTCACTCAATTGTCAACCTCTAAGACAAGGTCAATTTAAACAAAGTCATGCATAAATAAGAGCGCAACCGGTGGTTCAGAAAAGAAACCGGTTAACGAGCCGGTACTTCGGGTCCGTGCAGCACGGAACCACATGTGCAAGGCTCAGGATGCTGTCCACGTCCACAACGGCATAGTTGTCGATGCCCAAGGTTGGCGTCAGGCGCTTGCACCTGGTGATGGGGCAAGGCTTCTGCGCCTCGGTGTAGTACTGGATGAACGCCCCGCGCTTCTCCACCTCCCCATCCTGGTAATGGAAAAGCACCAGGACACGACCATACCACGGCTCCCCCACGCCGCCGCCAGGCCTGATCGAGACGTCAGAGAAGAGGCGCTCGTGAGGGCTCGCCTTCACGAACTGGCCCTTTGAGGTCCACTCCATGCTGTCATGGGGGGGGATGGCCATGGCTGTGTGGACCTGGGTTTAGGGTAGGGGGCAATGGGGGGAGTTCAGGGAAGGCGGGTGGGTGTAGAGAGGGGGCACGAGTGTGCCTTGAATTATCGTAGATGGGAGGGCAGCGCTTGGCAAGGAGGCATGGTACCATGGCACATGATAGTCATATTGTATGATTAGACGGATTGAGCTCAGGAGGGGATAGAGGGGAGACGTGGACAGAGGGGCCACGGTAGGGTTTAGGGTGTGGAAAAAAGAGAGCCCGGTCCCACCAAATTGCTGCCATTCCATGCCATTCACTGGCCAAACCCCACCAATCCCACTGGTACCGCTCCCAAGGCCCCTCCCCGTCCCACTTGACTCATTCCTTGCTATTCCCTGACTCTCTCTCCAAATCCTGCGAGAGCTTGCTGTTCGCGGCCCTTTCCCTCCCACTCCCACTCCCATTCTCAGTGATTCCTTCCTACCCCGTTCCCTCCAATTCCCCCCCATCCCCGTGCATTCCTCCTATTTCCTCCCATCCCCGTCCATGGCCTCCCATTCCCTCCCATCTCTGTCCATACCCTCCCATTCCATGCCATGCCCATTTATTAAATGGGACCCTAAGAGCTGAGGTAGCCAAGTAGTCAATGCAGTCTCCCATTCCATGCCATCCCCATCCATTCCCTCCCATCCCTGGGATACCCTCCCAGGCCATGCGATCCCCGTCCATTCCCTCCCATCGCTGTTCATACCCTCCCATTCCATGCCATCCCCATCCATTCCCTCCCATCGCTGTCCATACCCTCCATTCCATGCCTTCCCAATCCATTCCCTCCCGTCCCTGTCCATACCCTCCCATTCCATGCCATGCCCATACATTCCCTCCCATCACTGTCCATTCCGTCCCTTGACCTTCCAAGCCATACCACTCCCTCCCACTCACGGCCATCTCCTCCCTGCCATAAGGTGCCCAGTCACCCTGCCACTCCCTGCCCCGCCCTCACGTTCCATCCCAATCCCCAAACCCATGCCTCAGGGTCTAGTTAACGTACAAAGATTGTCCGCGTCTTAATCTTGGCGAGGCGAAGGCGCTCCTCCAGTTCGTGCATCGCCAGCACCCCCGCGGTCCTCATGTAATTGCGGAAGACAGGATCCCGTGTGTCCCCCGCTTCCATCTTCTTGTGGGTCTTGGTGAGGACACGCTGGTTCCTCAGGGATGCCTGTGCCGTGTATGGCATTTGGAGGATGGAAGCGGCAGTGGCGTGTTAGGCACGAGGTTGTTACGGGGTTGGCTAAGGGGTAGGTCCGTCTATACACTTGGAGAAATATGGGAATAGGGCAGCTAGGGTACCTGGAAACGCATGGAGTTCGAATCCCTCCACCCCTTTGGCCACCCATCAAACCGCTCCATACCTGCTTCATGGCCGTCTCGTACGACGCGTCGCCCCCGACCTCGCGGGTTAGCTGACGCACCACAGCGTGTTGGATGTGCTTCTTGGACGATGCGCTCCCCCACATTCTTCCAGTTTGACCCGCGAGATGGCCTCTTCACTGTTGTTTTGTGTCCGTGCTCGTAGCAGTTCGATGAGTACTCCTGGGGGACGCCGCGTGCCGTGATAGAGGAGGTGACGTGGCTGACGCCATGTATCTTCACGATGTGCCACTTCGACTTCTGGTTGTCAAATGCCACCTCTAGTAAAGCCACCATCCTACTAGGGAGCGTGCACGGATGGATAGTGTGAGACGTGCAGAGGGGAAAAGGTTGCACAAACGCTTCAAAAGAGGTGACTGACACGGGGTGCGAGGAAGAGAAACTCTAAAGGGTTTAGGGTGGGGGAAGGGAACCAGGTTCTGGACAGAGGTAGAGACGAGGTAGTGGAGAAATTCCCACCCAGGGTTGAAGTGAATTTCATGAGGGAATCATCCTGGCTGGCCGTCCAACCAGGGGATGTTATATGGTGAGCTAGCACGGGAAGGGCAGACCCTGGTTGTGTGGAAGACCAGGGAGGAAGTAGGGAATTAGGGAGTGAACGGACGCACCGGATGAACAGACCCTTATTGACCTGTAGACCAGGGGAGGATAGAGGGATCAAGGGAGCGAAGGTAGGGATTAGAGTGTTAAGGGTATACCTTATTCGAAAGAAGGAACAGTGGGGGAACGACGGGACCAGAGGATGTAAGGGAGGGACCGGAACGAGTAGGGCAGACCCTGGTTACATACGTTACCTGTGGTGGACGGCGGGTCTGGGGGGATGGGCAATGTACCAAGGGAATTAGGAGTAGAGAAAGGGTTTCAGGGGGGACCATGGGGGTGAAGGAATGGAGCAGAACGGAGAAGGCAGATCCCACCTGAATGAAGGACCACGAGATTAAGGAGGGAGCAGAACGGGATGGGCAGAGTAGAAGAGTAGGAAGGGAGCAGAACGGGATGGGCAGAGTAGAAGAGTAGGAAGGGAGCAGAACGGGATGGGCAGACCCCGCCTGAATAAATGACCAGGGATGGAAGGAGGGAGCGGTGGATGGAAGGAGGGACCAGGGGATGGAAGGATGGAGCGGGGGATGGAAGGAGGGACCAGGGGATGTAAAAGCAGGGGACCATTGTAATAGGGAAGGATCAGATGACTAGTGCACGGGGTGGGGACGATATACAGTGGAACCAAATGTCCCAGTGCGTGAGCCGACTCACTCTGTGGCGGACTCGTCCATCTTCTTGAGGCTGGAGTCGGTGTGGTACTCCGCACGTATGAACTGCTTGTACCAACTCGTTATCGCCAGGACCGCCTTGTAGATGTCGTCGCGGCCCGGAAGATACAGAATCAGCGGGAGCACCTGCATCATAGCACGGTGCTCTGATGCTGCGAAACCCGCCGTCGTAGTGAAGTACATCCACGCCCCTGGGAGCCTGAGCAGGAATGACGGCGTCACAGCCTTCAGAGCGTTGAAACGCCTGCCATGAGTGTGAGAAAGCGGGTGGGCATGGATGAGTGGTCTGGGTGGAAGAGAGCCTCCATGGCCAAGCGTGTTTGGGGCAAGAGAGAGCAACCGGGCACTACGTACTCAAGCAAGATCTTCCGCTCCTTCCTCGTCAGCTTGGCAGCCAAGCACCGCATCGCATGGAGCCAGAAGCCCTGTTCAATCATGTGCATGATGTCTGGCGGAAGAGCAAGGTAGATGTTGCCCCACGAAGTGGTTGAGAACTCCCACTTCCAAGCACACACTGCACAGCAGACACGATATGAATGCAAAGGCAGGAATGCATGGGCATGAATGCAACGACAGGAATGCAAATACAGGAATGCAGGGGCATGAATGCAAAGGCGGGAATGCAAAGACAGGAATGCAAAGGCAGGAATGCAAATGCAGGAAGGCAAAGACAGGAATGCAAAGGCAGGAATGCAAAGGCAGGAAGGCAAAGACAGGAAGGCAAAGATACAAATGCAAATGCAGGAATGCAAAGACAAGATTGCTTACACAGAAATGCAAGGGTTGGGATGCATGGGACTCGGTCAAAGGGCAGGAATGCAAGGGCATGAATGCAAAGACAGGAATGTTATGGCATGCGGGTACGGAGCTTACAGCAGCTTAGAAACGCAGTGCATGGGCGACCTACAGGCACTTGGTGCGTGGACCACTTGGCCTTAAGAGCGGCCAGCTCCTTCTTCTTCTTGGCTCGTACTGCTCGCTGCATCTTCTTGTAGATGAGCTTCTGTCCCTTCACTGTGCGGTTGATAGTGTCCGGCTGGACCTTGTTCAGGTTGTCCCGATCCACAAGGCAGATGGAGCAGGGCCTGAAGGACTTGCACTGCATCGTGCAAGAAACCTTGCACCCCTCCGGGTGATCAGTCACATAGGCATAGAGCACCGGGTAGACCGTGTGCTCCCCCCCCGCATGATCCACCACCTGTATCCCCCCCTGGAAACCGCAAAAGTAGCATGCAAGGATGAGAGCCGCACTGGGGATGCTGGGGGTACAACATAGTCGTTGCATTGCTACACGACATCTCACCCGTCAAGCTGGGATGTCTCCATGAGCGGGTTTGCCACAATGTCCAGCGCATCTTGGAAGGCGGCACACTTCTGTTCGGGGAACAGGTCACCAGGAATGTTAGGCAGATTGCCTATCATCTCCGTGCCCCCCTCCGCCCACCTTGCCCACTCCGGCGTGTTTGCGAATGCCATCATCACGGGGTGGGCTGTCTGTCGGCCATTGTTGGAGAGATTGGTTTGATCGCTGAAAAGAATTATTCCCAACGCCTCTCCACGGTCCTTGATGCGTTCCTGTAGAGCATGGCATTCAATGCATGAGGGATTTGGGCTAGTAGATCACCTATGGGCTACTGACGGGTGATCTCGAACGTATGCCAGGATGTGGGTGACACGTACCTGGGCCTGCAGCATGAAATCAGTGTTCATTGCCGTGCTGTAACGCCGCACGTTGCCCACCTTCCACTGGGCAGGTTTTGTCTGAAAGCCCTGGATCGCGGACTGACGTGTGTACATCGCCTTAAGTACCTGTGGAGTTTATGGGAAGGTCGCAAAAAGGCGTGCAAGAAAGCTCGGTACGAGGGCAACGTGCATAGGACAGCATGAATTATTCGTGCACCAGGGGTCCTCACCGAGAGCACATTTCGGTGCCGAAACGTCAAGAACTCGACCTCGTGATCAACCGGGATCTCGGAGACAACCCACTCGTTCTCCTCCCCCACCTCGAATGAAGCCTCGAACCGCTCCAGGTCCCGGTGTGAGTTCCACCCCTCTAGCTGCGAAGGGTCTAAGTCTGGATCCCTAAGCAGCCGGATTGTTGCCGTGATGGCCCCGTTGCTGAATCCATGATTCCGTGACAAGATGCAAACCTCGGCCCTAGTGTCGAGCAACTCAGGCTGTTCTTCCGGATCCAACACTACCGAGTCACTATGAGCATCCTCCGCAGCCGGAGTCATATTAACATCTGGACCTGGTTCTGACAGGATGTAGGCGTCCTGCATCCCTGCCGTGGGCTGTGTGGGCAGCGGCGCGGA